CTTTATTATATATTTAAAAGGAAAAGCAGGTTGTACATAATAGATTTGCAGTTTCATATATAATCATCTTTTTTTCCCATTCTACTGTGTTATGGAAATGCTTGTTTTATTTCTTAAGTTCAGAATAAAATTTTTAAAAATAAATTTTAAAATGAAAAAGGACAGGCAATGAAGATAGCTAATTCAGCTGAGTGAAGCTTCCATCCCTGCTTTACCCATTTTCCACAAACCAAGCATCAGAGTTCCTTGTGGCAGTTTGGTAGTTGGACAATGAGAACAAGATGTCAACAACCTAAGCCTTTAGTTCACTTAAGCCAAGCAAGTCTAGAGGATAGTCTCTAGGACTAGGACAGTCTAGAGGACTTTTTAGGGAGAAACTAGCAAGGGGACAAGAGTTAGGATATCGCTCCTACTGCACCATGTTTCAGTAGTCATTCTCCAGCACCTACCCTTGCTTTCATTTCCTATATGTCTCTTTTAAAACTTTAAGTTGGTAGGGGAGTTCTTTGTGATTTCACATTGCATTTTTCCTCTTTGGAATAATTTTCTTTCATGACTTGAGAATTTGCCACCCTTCCTGGGCTGATTTTTCCTGTAGAATTTTCTTCCATACAATCCAACTTTTCCTTCCTCTGAAGCCTGTGCAATCTTCTTTCTCCAAAGTCAGAGTACATGTCAGACGGCCCAGTTTTCCTCTCCTTCTTTATCACAAATCCCGAGTTAGTGCCCAGTGCTTAGCACAGTGCCTGGTACATAGTAGGTGCTTAATAAATGTTTACTGACCGATTGGTCACTTTCCCCAAGGTTCCCATCATGTTCTCCCAAGCAACCCATTCATCCTCATTAGTAAGAACTGGATTCTGAATGTATTTTTCCTCTTTGTTTTTTCCCTTCTCCTTGTGAAGGATCACTTGATCCTTAAGGCAGATCAAGAAGTTATCAACTGCTATTCTTTTGTCAGAGCTCTAAGAGATTCTGGATAATTGAAGTCCCCTGTCAATATTGGGTCATGCCTTTGTATCAGACCTATGGTGTTTCCTAAGGTCCTTATCTATTTCTTCCTTCTGTTCAGATGGTCTATAGTATACTGAGATGGCAAAATTGCTTCTGTTTCTGCTTCCATTAATTTTTACCCCACTGTCCTCCACCATTCTTCCCTCTGGTTTCTGGATTTCCTCCCATGAGAATCTTCTTAATATACAATGTTACTCCACCCTCTTTTACCTATCCAGTTTTTTTAATTAACATAACTTGGAGTAGGGGCTTTTAACCTAAGGATCTGTGAACTTGTTTTTTAAAAATAATCTGAGAAATGTATAAGGGTATTGTAAGTATAAAAGGAATATTGTGAGGAAGGGGCCATCAGTTTCTCCAGACTGCCAAATGAGTCCAGAACACAGAAAAGGTCAAAAACCTTTTTCAAACTTGGGAGATTTAAACAACTGCACAAAACAGAGAATAGCCCATAAGAATAAGAAGGGGTCTTGAAAAGCATCTCCACCTCTGCTGTCATTTTGTAACTGAGGAAACTGAGGTCCAGAGAGGCCATGTAGCTGATCCATGATAGAATAAGGATGCAAACTGGAGTTGCTTGACTCTTGGTCCTCTGTGTTTTTTGCCCTAAGCTACACTGCCTCTCCTAATGCTTTGAGCTGAAAAGATGAATTGACTCAAAACTAGAAAAGCTGAGATGACTGTTGACAGTGGACATCAGAACCAGCTTAGAAAAGAATGCCCTGGGCTATGACCCCCAAATCCCATCATGCTCTCCCCTTTGAGTCCAAAAGAGTTAAACTACTTTTAAAATAAGGGAATATGCATTAATAGAGGAAATACAATGGACAGAGACCGTGAGATGGAGGTGGAAAACATAAATGAATGAATGAATGAATGAAGCATTTATTACATGCAAAGCACTGTGCTAGGGATTGTTCATTTTGAAGAGGACCAGTGACATGTTGGGTGATGTCTTGACTTGTATATGAATTGGATTTAAGTGAGGCAAAGATGCACAAAGTCATCAGCTTAACTATCTCTTCCAGAGTCATCAAAGACCAATGGCAAGACACAAGTCAAGATGAACGGTGATGGTCTGGGATGTAATGGATGACCTTCGTGTGGCATCTTTGATATCTGACCAAGCTCTTAGCACTCCACAACCCCTGCATCAGCTGCCATCATGGCTGCTGGAACAAATTGTGCTCATCCACCCATTTCGCTGGGGGAAGTCTTCAGATGCTTGGGGTAGACAGCCCCCTAAGTCACTAATGGGTTTGAGGTTGTCAGTTGCCTTCCGCCTGGTTCAGCCTGTCTTTGGAGAAGGTTTTACCAGGGTGTGGCTATAGTTTCTTGGAGCCCTGGGTGAAGGTTGGATGAAAGGAGGACACCAAAGGTGGAGGAGAAATCCTGAAAAGGGCCCAGCACCCCTCACACTAGAGCAGCTTCTTCCTGGAACACCCCATACAAATACAAATAGAAAAAAAGAGATAGTCCCTTCTTTCACAGAGCTCACATCTTAATGGGAAAACAAAATGTAGGGAAGGTTCTAGGATCAGGGGTGGAGAACTCAAAGGATTGCATTTGATGACCTAGAAGGCCACATGTGGCCTCGAGACTACAGGTTCCCTACCCCTGTTTTAGGTATATATTCAACCTAGATCCAGGTTCAAATTCAGCCTCTGATACTTACTACTGATATTTACTTTTTTTTCCTCCAAGTTATAACAGGGTTTATCATTTCCCATTAACATATTAACTGGATTTTTGTTCAAATAAACAGGGAATTCTCTTTAAAAAATGATCTTACACTCTGGCCAGTCCAAGAGGAAATCAAAGGAAGTTAGTGCAGGGAGGGGAGAGTCACCAATCAGTCATGAAGCTCCAAGGGAAGAGATGAAAACTGAACTGGGACTGACAAGGTATACCTTTATACTCAGGGGCCATGGCGGGCATGGTGTAGCAGGCAGTATTGTCCAACTCACATAGAAATGGGGGATACTGAGCCATATATAAGGATCTTTGTGGGCTGCATATTGACTTAGAAAATCACATCTTCACATTATTTATATCCTACTGTATTTTTATTTATTTTGTTATATATTTCCCAATTACATTTTAATCTGGTTTGGGCCACATTTGGGAGTGTTGTGGGCAACCCATGTTTGACGCCCCTGGTGTAATGGATAGAGCACCAGATTTGAAATGGGAAAGGCCAAGGTTCAAATCTCACCCCATGCTCTTCAGCTCCATGACCCTGGGAAAGTCTCTTCATCTCTTGTTCTCTTCATCAGTAAAAAGTGGGGTTGGATCTGATTATCTCTAAGGTCTCTTCTGGCTCTAAATCTCAGATCTCATGATTCTCTCTGAGCCTCAGTTTTCTTATTTGTAAACTAGAGATATTACTTAACCTAAGTTGCAGTATTGTTGTGAGAAAAGTTTTGTAAGCTTCAAAGTGTTATAGAAATGCAAGCAATCAATAATGACTCTTAGAGTGTTATGTCAGGGTGATTTATTATTACTGTTAGTTGTCCTGCAAGGGGAGTTTGTGTGAAATCTGGAAGAGGGTAATGTTCTCCCAGAGAACTGATATGAAATGAACATTTTCTGCAACTCTGTACTTTTGTCAAAAATAATGGACATGAAATAAATATCTGACTGTTGGGAAGAGGGTGTTATTTACTGTCTTCACTCAGGGCACCATTAATTAAACCTTTGAGATGCCCTGCTGTAATTATCGGTGGTATAGAAAATGACACACATTCCAAAGCTTCAAGTGCCAGGCCATCGGTCCCCTGGCTCAGCACAGGGCCCAGGAGCCTTTGTTGGTTACAGGAGGTATTTTTAAAGGGATAAGACTGCCTCCTGTAAATCTTTCTACTGCTGTTTTTGAATAAATACAAAATGCATTAGTCCATCTCATCGGCAAAGCCCAGCTCAAAACACCAACAGAGTCTAATGCAAGAATCAAGAATGACTACATCTGAACAGAAATATTTAAAGAATAACAATCTGGAGAAGAGTAGGACACTGAAGACCACATGCAAGTCCCACTAGAGAAGTCTCTAAGAATTTTTAGCAAATGGTAGGCTCACAATAATTGACAGTGGGATGGGGTCAAGCCCTGCTAAGAGAGTCAAAGCAGTGACAATGGTGTACATTTTGGAGAAGACTGGCCTCTTCTCATGACAGTCAAAATAAAAACTAAGTGTCTTCTATGGATGGAATCCAATTGTATCCAGTGACTCTAGCAGAAATGCTACTGACATTCTGAAAGGAAGTCTGGAGGAAACGGACTCCCTTTCCAAAAATTTATGTCTTAACTGGTTCTTCCAGAGGGAGGAAGGAAACAACCTGTGTAGCCAATGGTTTGGAATCCATGGATAGATTTTAGGGGGCCCATGAATTTGAATAAATGAGAAAAAATGTACATCTTAGGGCAGCTAGGTGGCACAGTGGATAGAGCACTGGCCCTGGAGTCAGGAGGACCTAAGTTCAAATCCAGCTTCAGACACATAACACTTACTAGCTGTGTGACTCTGGGCAAGTCACTTAACCCCAACTGCCTCACTAAAAAAAAAATGTACATCTTTATTTTCACTAACCTCAAAATTTAACATCTTCAATTATTTAGAGACATTATTCTAGGAGGGAGAGAGCCCATGGACAGATTTCAAGGGGCCTGTGAATTTGGATAGGGAAAAAATTCTATCTATATTTCAATATAATTGGTTTCTCTTGTAATTCTATATATTTTATCTTATGAATTTAAAGACATGATTCTGAGAAGGGGTCATAGGCTTCACTAGACTGCCAAAGGGGTCTATGACACAAAAAAAAGGTTAAGAACTCCTGGTTTAGATTGATGGAAACTAGTTGTTTCTGTTCTGATAAAGGCAGTTTAGGGGGTGGTGCAATGGCTATTTATGCCCATACAAACTTCCCAAGTGATACATCACAGCAATGTGAAACTGGTCCATCTAATATCTCAGTTAGTTACTTGCCTTCATTTCTTTAGTGAGTACGATATTTTCAGGTAGACCTGGGAAGATTTTTGGAGAAGAACTGTCTGATGACTTCCTTCTTTCTGGAGACAATGGACTCGTGTATAACAACATTTCAGCTTGCTGCCTGAGGCCAGATAGTTTTCCATGTAAGGCCATAACTCTAAAAGCAACAGGCGTAAAATCTATAATCAGCAACCTTATGAAATAAATGCAGGAAAGTATATCAGGACATTTATGTTCAAAGTGAGCACATACTATCTACTAACACCTCAATTAACCAGAAGTCAGTTGGGTCTTTGGGATCCTCAAACATCCATATTGGTGTTGAACATGAAAGTAAGTGAGGAAATACGAGTGAGGAGGCCAATGGACTGAAGAGGGGGTGATGAATGGGGAGGAAGAAACTTGAAGCCTCAGTAAAAGGAGTTCAGAAGTGTAAGAGAGTCCAAGGTCATACACCATGTTGCTTGAACAGAAGGAAAAGGAAGGTTCCACCTGGCTGGTAGTGTATATGAAAGGCATGAGATATACACAGAGCCGGAGAAATAAGGAAGGAGTAGATGAGAGACCAGGAGGAAAGGAAAAATAAAAAGGAATGGTGGCAATAATCAGGTGGAGAGGGATAGAGGCACATTCTCTATGTCTTCAGCTGCATCCTTAGCAGAGCACAGTAACTGCCATTCTTAATGACAATGTTGAGTCATCAAGGACATGTTTTTAGCAGGCTCTGTTTAAGAGGCATATTGTTTAAGAGGTATATGGTTCACCTTATAAAGATTTCTATCATATAAGAAACAGATTAAAATGAAAGGTCTGGTACTCAATGCATTGATATTTCAGTTATCCAGAAAACCCACATATCCAGAAAGCCACATTCCTGGATGATGCAGATAACTAAGGTAGTGACAGCATCTGAATTTAAATTACAGCTATTCTGCAATGAAGGACATTTCACTTAGGGATGTAAAACTGCATCAAGCTGTTAATTTAATGCCTGATATATATCTAAATACAGGCTGGTGGAGAGCAAGGCCTCTGTTGCAAGCCATTGCTTCTGACTTAAGGAAAAAAGGAAGGACCCAGGCACAAGGCACAAGGAATGAAGCTGAGCCCAAGGGCCATGTCTTTTGTCATGCCCATTTTCCCAGCTGCATAGACCCATAGCATGAGAGAGATGAAATCAGGGGCATTCCAGAGGCCACTTCCCTGAGGACAAACCAACCCAAGACACAGAGTTGTTGTCCATTCGGTCACACCAGAGGAGTGCCACATGATAAACGTGGGAAAGGGAATGACCCAAGATGACCCTGAGACTCTTCTGACTCACCCTAACTCTGCATTAGAGACAGTTCCCATTTCTGGGAGTACCTGTGTTCTAGGCAGCTCTCATCTTTGGGAATTGTTCCAGAAGATAAGGCCCAAGGAGGTAAAGAGTGCTCATAGACACATATCCAGGAGGGTCAGAGATGGCATTTGAACTTGGGTCTCCAGAACTCAAGTCTGGCACCTCTTTCTACTATGGAATCTTGAGAGGTATTCTGTCTTGCTCAAACCCTGCCTTCTGACCCCCCAGCTGACCGCCATTTTCTATTATGCTAATAAGAAGACATGGTCATTTCAACCTTTGTTTTGCTCAGAGGTTAAGGATACATTCAGTTGTCTCGATTTGCTACATTTCTTAAAAACTTTTTAGGAAGCAAAGACGAGACTCCCTCCGCCTCCTGTTTATATTCTACAGGGCAGGAACTGTGGATGGCCTTTGACATGCATTCATAAGGGCATACAGCCAAACCAGGACCATCACTAGAAATTGTAACAAATATTATATTATTGCCTAATTTCTATATTATGTCAATTATTTCTGCTTGAGAATACCCTACACCCAGGTTTCCCCACCATTTCACTGAATAATTGATAGTTACTGAATAATGGATAGCTACACCACCTCAAAAAATAACCTTTGTTTTATTACATTTGAGGTCTATGCTGAAGAGTCCTTCAAAAATGAGCACCACAGAGCAGAAAGACAGCTCCTCAGGAAAGGAAGAAAGGGAAACTTCATAATTTAGGGAATTTAAAATTTAATTCAAGAGCCATTTCTTGAGTGCTAGTGGCATGCAAGACACTATGCTGGGCACTGGGGAGGAAACAAAGAATGGCGAATGTGACATTGCATGGGGATGGCTCATTTGCTGTTTTCAAAGGGCTGTCACTTCTGTGGCCCCATCAGACTCTCACAACAGCAGCAACAACAATAATATCCAGCAATTAGCTACAGCTTTAGGGTTGGCAAAGCTGCAAATATTTTCTATACCTCACACATATTATCTCTTTTGTTCCTCATGGAGAAAAATCACTACTATCATCCCCATTTTATAGATGAGGACAGTGAGGCTGAGAATGATTAAGTGATTTATTCATGGTCACACAGCTAATCAATGTCTCAGAATTTGAACTCAGCTCTTCCTGACTCCGGGACCACCACTTTATCCACTGTACCAATAGCTGCCTCAGCATCCTTCACAGGCAAGGAAGGCTGGAATTATTGGCCTATCTTACAGAGTGGACTGTGAGTCAAAAAGAGTCAGTCACTTAATACCTAGGACCAGACCATAAGTCTTCCCAGAATTGTTATGAGAATCAAGTGAGATGATATTTGTAAAGTGCTTTGTAAACCTTAACGTGATACAGGTATAATTATTATTGCTGTTGTTAATCCAGCACCCTACCTACTATATCACACTGTCTTTCCATGTTGTGATTATCATGTATAGTCTCTGCCCACAAAGGATTTATAATCACCTTGGGAGACAGGATAGATATGAAATATGTAAATTACAATCTTAGTATATGAGAAAGTGCCCAAATAGAGGTAGGTTTAGGTAAGATCACAGGAGTTTCCCAGTCTGGGTTACAATTCTTAAATCCAATTCACACACAAGCCCCAGAAGGTCTGCAGGACTCAGGGGTCAAAAAGTGAATAACCAGACTGAAAGGAAAAGAAATGCATTTTGTTCATTAAGGAAGACTGTTTGGACTGAAGGCAGCTTTAGTTTCTTAGGGTACAAGTCGGTTTTACAGATTTTAAGGCTGCCTCAAAACACAGCCAGTCAGCTGCATTCTGTGGCAGGAAAGAAATGGGTGGGGTGGGGGTCACAGGACTTCCTAAAGGTCAGCTTTGTTCCTGTGGGAAATACATTTCATTCCCTGTATTGACAGGCAATCTCAAAGATGGTGAAGGCCCCTTTCATCATTCTTGTTCATCCTGCCTTAGCCAATAAGGAGAAAAGTGAAGTAGCTACCCTGTGGTTCACCTTCCTTGATCTCAGAGTACTTGGGGAGAACAATTCTTCAAAATCCACGATATTCATGTTCACCCACCTTTTCCACAGCAAGAAAGTATTATATGAATTTTAGGAGTCAGGAAAGGATCCATGAAAGAGTTAACCCTTGAGTTGGCCCTTCAAGGAAGGAGGATTTGGATGGAGAAAGGGCATGGGAAGTCAGAGGATATAAAGTGAGTCAAGATTCAGAGGCACCGATGGAGCAGAGGCTTTGTGCAGGGAAAGAGAAGTTGGAGACATAAGGCCGGAATAGATGGTGCAGATGTACAAGTTTTGATGCCAGTCTCTAGCCCAGTGGTCTCCAGACTTTTTTGATTGCTTATTCCATCAGTAAAAACAATTCTGAGTTTCTGCCTCCCACTATGTGTACATTTACTTATTCACAAATAATACTGATGGTTATGTACATGATAAAACTTACACAAAAAAGTAAAAAGTTAAATGAAAATGGATGAAAAAAGATGAAATAATATTTGATCCCAGAAGCAAGAGTCGCTGGAGTTTATTGAACAGGGGAAAGAGATGGCCAGACATGCAATTAAGACAAATCCCTATGGCAGCTGTATGGTGGATGGACTGGAAAGCAGAGAGGCAGGGGGATCAATTAGGAGGTTATTGCAATTGTCCAAGTCAAAGGAGATGAGGGCCTGAATGAAAATCGTGACTGTGGGAGTGGAAAGAAGAGCTAAGATACAAACAGGGATGTGCACAGTACATTTTAAAATTTAATGTGCACCATCAACATTTTCTCCATCACTTTCTTAAGTCTAGTCAATCAACAAACCAAAAAACTGAGCTCTGATTTGCAGTTTGCTGCTTTCTGAGGTATAGATGCTCAAAGAGAATTTAACAATGACAAGAGCTGGTGTAAAGTGGCTCCACCTCATCCCTGGATGTAAGTGATGCTATGGTGCAAGACATGTCGAAAGTATGGCAACTGATTGTACCTGCAGGGTGAGGAGAATAGGATCAAAAATGTTTGTGACAGGGGCGGCTAGGAGGCCCAGGGGGTAGAGCACCATCCCTGAAGTCAAGAGGATCTGAGTTCAAATCTGACCTCAGACCAAATACTTGACACTTACTAGCTGTGTGACCCTGGGCAAGTCACTTAACCCCAATTGCCTAAAAAAAAAAATGTTTGTGACCATCACTCTGGACTATGAACTATTGAAATTTCCTGACCTCAGTTAAAAATAAAAGGCAAAATGTAACCCAAATAGCCATGCTGCAGTTACTGGATTGGCAGACCACTGTGGTGTCATGGAGAAAGCCTTGTTCATAGAAGTCAGAGACCTATCATTAATGAGTTTTCTGGTCTTGGGCAAGTCATTTTGACATATCTGGGCATCTGCTTCTTCACCTGTAAATGTCCCACTGCAGAAACCCTAAGATCATTTCCAATTTAACATTTGACTCCATCAGAATTGTCTTCATTCTACCTGCCTAAAAAGACGTTCAAGACAGCATCAGAATGTTACAATGTCACAGATAAGCCTGCTTCACTTACTTGTTCAAAGGAAGCCAGAAGGATCCAGAATATATACTGCTGTTATTGAACTCCAAGGCATCATGAATCTTGACAGGTTTGGTGTTAAAGGCATACAGCAACACGACCTGGAAAATTAAAAGGCATGTAAGTGTCACACCAAAGGCACCCTCTGCCGCACATGTTTCCGTATCAGTACCATATTCATCTTCAAAAACCAGTGCTTTTGTTCTTTTCTCTTTTTTAATTGGATGGCATTGAAAATGCATTGAATGATGAAATGGGAAGCCATACTGCAAAAAGTTGAGGAGTGAGAGAAGGAGAGCCAGTGAGACAAGAGACAAGAGCCTTTCCTAAGAGTTTAACTACGAAAAGCAGATGAGATAGAGGATGAATGTATGCTAAGTGTTTGGTTGCTGGCTTGAGGGGATGGTAGGGGAATGGAGGGTTCTTCTTTTAGGATAGAGGAGACTTAGGCAAGTCACTTACCTTAACCAGCTCTCTAAGACTAAAATTTGAAGAAAAGGTGCCAACGTGCATTGGTAGCAGGAGTTTGTTCACCTGGGATTTCCCCATATTCACAAATTTACAAGCCCAGTCCCCATCCCTAGGCATTTGGGATTGAGAGGACAAAACATCTGGAAAAGTGGGTTATTTTCAAACATTCTTAGGAGTGTTGGTTTTAAAGGTTGGTTTGTTTATTATCCTCGTGGGGACGAGACAAGAAATATTACTGAACTTGTGGCAGCAACCAGTTCTGAGGGTTGAGGGTTAACATGAGATGGCAACATGAAAGAGGCCACAGGGAGAGGCATCGCATATTCAAATAAAAAGGCACAGCTGGTGTTATAGGATTCTTGGCTTCCCAACAGCAGAATTACCCGCTGAGTTGTAAGGGACATGTAGCCTGCAGAAGCCACCAGAGGCATGGCTAGAAGGCACAGCACTCAGGAGCTGGGAAGTAGGGGAGTGGGTTCAGCCAGGGTCCAAGAAGCAGGATACCATGACTGACAAGAGAGCTGGAAAAGAGCAAGACTCCAAGCAAAGCTTCATGGGAAATAGCCAGAGGGATTTCTCTCCCTCTCTTCTAAGGAGGCAGCAATCAAAGGGTATGGAAGCAAGAGGTCCCTCTGCACCAAGCGCCAGCATCATATGTAGAATAACAACTCAGAAGGGCCGGGAGGGCAGATTTCTCAGTGCCTTCCTGCACCATTTTTACGCTTAGCCCTGCTCTCTATCTTCTCAGTACTATCCAAAGCCCGCCCAAAATAGCACTTCAATTCCCTAAACTTATGGGTTTCAGCGAATGCCAATGAGATAATATGTCTGCAAACCTTAAAGAGCTTCATCAATATGAGTTATTTATTATAATGAGTATTAATACCGATGGACCATTTTGGGCAAGGTCCTCCATTCATCTGTCTCATGGCTGAATTACCCTGTAGGGCAGGGGTTCTTAACCTTCTCTGTGTCCTGGACCCCTTTGGCAGTCCAGTGATGCCCATGGACCCCTTCTCAAACTAATGCCTTTAAATGTACAAAATAAAATAGAGTTACAAAGAAGACCAATTATGGTGAAGTACAGTAATGAAAATTTTTTTTAAAAATTTGAAACAAGTTCATGGAACTTACATGAAAAACCCCTGCCCTAGGAGTGATGATACTCTGACTTGGGAACCAGTGGTATTGTGCATAGACAACTGGCCTTGGACCTGGAAGATTTAGGATTCAAACCATACCTCTGACATACCAACTATGTGACCTTGGGCAAGTTTCTTGGCCTCTTAGTGTTCCTAGGTGATCCTCTGAAACTATTTAGTTATAAGCATGGGATTGGGGATTTCAAACTGGGAGTACCATACACAGATAAAATGCTATATCTAAACATGCCCCCACCTCCACTCCTAGCTAGAGATCTTAGCTCCAATTGGCCAAGAAGCAATAGGGAATCCTGCTTGGAACAAAGAATGCAGCCACCTGCCTAAAACAAATTCCCAAAATGGGAGGCCAAGGGGGGCAAGGAAGGGAGGCAGGTAGAACGCCTTGGGCTGAATTGGCCAACATCAAGGGCAGGGGACATTTCCTAGCTCTTCACTGACCTGGTCTCACCCCTGACCGTGAAATTTCATAGTAAATTTTCGTGGTAAAATTTCATAGAATGACAAAATTTCATACTGGGAGGGGACCTCTTGGGGCCTTCTAGTGCAATCTCAACCTCTTCTTGAAGGTCTCCAATGAAGAGGGACCTATGACCTCCCACAGCAGCTCATTCCACAGTTTGATAGCTCTGATTGTTAAGTCTAAATCTGCCTTTTTAAAATTATTCCCCATTGCTCTCTGTTCTGCCTTCTGGGATCAAATCGCACAAATCCTCCCTCCCTTCAAATACCAGAAGAGAGCTGTTATGTCTCCTGCCCTCTCCCTCCCCACCCCCATCTTAGTCTTCTCCAGGTGAAACATCCCCAGTCATTCCCTCAATCCTTATATGCACTGGGTTGTCACGATGTTTGTGGTCCCTGATTCTGTCACCCCACACGCCAGTTATTCCTCCCAGTTCTGGGTCCATTGCACAGTTGACAAGTTTGCCATCTATGCCTTTATCCAAGTGACGGGTGAAAATGTTAAAGAACAAAGGACCAGAGGCAGTCCTCTGGAGACCTCCTTCCAAAGTGATACTGAACCACTAGTGACCTGAAATGTTCTCCTCCCTCAGTTCCTGGGGCGTCGTCCTCTTCTCGTTTTCCATCTGCCTCTCTGAATCCTCCTTCTGTCTTTCTTTGTTTCCCTGACTTTTTTCAGTCAGTCCTTGAAATACACGGTGCTGGTTAAAGGTAGGACCACCATTCACACTTGAGCCAAGGCATCAGCGACCAGTGAGAGGGTTCTTGGTCACTGGCCATGGTCCTAGTTTTATCTGCAGCCTAAGGTCCTGGGTTCTTTCTAATGTGAGTGCCCTGAATATTCAACTGCCATGTGCTCTTTTCGGGACTCTGATAGCTGGCTAACTCCTGCTCATGGCCATCTGATGGTCTAGCCTTAACACTCCCTCTATGCTGTGAATTCACATACGCTGGATGGGGCCTTCAGCTACTGACCTGAGATAAGAGTCTCCTGGCTTATGCCTAGGAAAACAGGGCTTCATTTATCTGTATATGCGATGAAAGGCACCTTTTGCCAAATTAGTTGAGCCAAGTAGCCCTGGAGATTAATGAGGATGCTTGATCCACAGAATCACAGAATTTCAGAGTTTGAAGAGATCTCAGCAGCCAGGAAATCTCTCTACAACACACCCACAAGTGGTGACACATCTTTTACATAAAGATCTACAAGGAGAAGGAACCCACTTCCTTAATCAATCAACCAAGTAATCCATCCATCAGCACTTATTAAGCTGCTACTGTGTACCAGGCACTTTGCTTGGTGCTGGGAATACACAAGCAAAAATGAAACAATCCTCAAGTAACCCATTCCACTTTAAGACAGTTCCAATGATGAAGAAGCCTTTCCTGACATCAAGTTTAAATATGTCTCTTTTCCTTTTCCACCTTTTGCTCCTAATTCTGTCTTCTGGATCAATGCAGAACAAATTCAGTTCTTCTTCCACGTGTAAGACAGTGATCACTCTCCCTTGCATCTTTTCTTCTCAGAGTTTTCTCATTGGCTAGTGCCTGAGTCATAGCTACTTTGGGGATTTTCTACTTGAAAACCTAGGGAATAAGACAGTAATACTCAGGACTCCAACCTCATCCTCCCCTCTCTCTTTCCTACGAGTATCCCCTGCTTCCTAAAGCTCGGATCCCAACTAGAGCTTTACAGAAAGGATGTAAATCAATAAAACCTGCTGAGATGTGACTGGTGGAATGACAGAACCACAAGAGCAGTGACTAGTGGTTAAATGTCAGCCTGGGAGTAGAGTGCACCAAGCATGGGTCTCTGGACTTGTTCTGCTTCGGAAATTTTACCAGTGGCCTAGGGGGAGGTGTGGATGGCCATACTGATCGAAGGAGAAGATGATTCAAAGCTAAAGGAAAAGCAAATCACTTGAATGACAGAACTGGCATCCAAAAATATTTCATTGGGTCAGAACAGTGTACCAAGACTAATGAAATGGAATTTAATAAGGATAACTATTTCCTACATTTGGATAAAAAAAAATCCCTGCACATTTGTGGGGCAGGGAACATGTATCTGGATGATAAATAGTCTATTTGAAAAAAAATACCTGGGGGTTGGAGGCAGCACAAGGACACGTGCCCAGCATATGGTCATGTTTAAGTCTAGCTCTCTCCTTTAGAACTTCAAAACAGAAATCGCCGTGCAAATGAAATTGAAGAACAATGGAAAGAAAATAGAGGAAAGGAAAGAAATTATCATGAGAAGCAGAAGAGCACAGAAAAAATCAATAGAGAGACTAAATAAATGAGTAAGCACCAGGGCCCTTTTACTCTCCTATATGCAGGCACTCCTTGCAAAGCATTTAGCACAGTGCCTAGCACATAGTAAGCACTATATAAAAGTTATTATTATTATTATTATTATTATTACATAGAAGTAGCAGAACAGTCAACTTAGAACAGAAACTGGGCTACCTTAGTAAATCAGTGGATAATCTAAAGAAGAATGGAGGAAGTGAAATTCAAAAATCAATTATACATTAAGAAATATTAGAGCAAAAATCAAAATGCAGAAAAATTGAAGAGCACATGAGATGTTGACTATCAAAAAACAAATGAAATGGGAAAGATGTGCAGAGAAAAAATTTGACAAATCACCAGTTTCCAAGAAAAAAACAAAACCCTAATTAACATATGAGAAGAAGTCATAAAAGAAAGTTGCCAAGAAGCATTGAAACCAGACAGAAAAATATAAACTGAAAGAATTCACAGGTCACCTCCAGAAAGAAGTCCTAGATATAATGATACATGAGTATGATCAGTAAGCTCCATAACTCCCTGGTGAAATTAAAAATATTGCAAGAAGAGAACAATAAAATACCAAGAAATTTCATTCAAAATTGCATAGAACTATGGAGGAAAGAAAAATAAGTTATAACACAATATGTCAAAAGACAAAAAAAAAATGGTTTCCAGCAAAAGAGAGAAAGAAAAGATCAATGAATTGAACATATAACTAATTATTTTTTTTACAAAATCAATCAATCAGGGGCAGTTAGGTGGCACCATGGACAGAATGTTAGGCCTGGAGTCAGGAGGACCTGAGTTTAAATCTGGCCTCAGACACTTACTAGCTATGTGATCCAGGGCAAGTCACAATCCTGATTGCGAAAGAAAGAAAGAAAGAAAGAAAGAAAGAAAGAAAGAAAGAAAGAA